TAAAAGCGTCTGTGTGTAAAAGCGTCTGTGTGTAAAAGCGTCTGTGTGTAAAAGCGTCTGTGTGTAAAAGCGTCTGTGTGTAAAAGCTTCTGTGTGTAAAAGCCTCTGTGTGTGAAAGTGTTGTGTGTAAAAGCGTCTGTGTGTAAAAGCGTCTGTGTGTAAAAGCGTCTGTGTGTAAAAGCGTCTGTGTGTAAAAGCGCCTGTGTGTAAAAGCTTCTGTGTGTAAAAGCCTCTGTGTGTAAAAGCTTCTGTGTGTAAAAGCCTCTGTGTGTAAAAGCGTCTCTGTGTGTAAAAGCAAAGCGTCTGTGTGTAAAAGCGTCTGTGTGTAAAAGTGTCTGTGTGTCAAAGCGGCTGTGTGTGAAAGTGTCTGTATGTAAAAGCGACTGTGTGTAAAAATATTTGTGTGTAAAAGTGTTGGTGTGTAAAAGTGTTTGTGTGTAAAAGCGTCTGTGTCTAAAAGCTTCTGTGTGTAAAAGCGTCTGTGTGTAAAAGCTTCTGTGTGTAAAAGTGTCTGTGTGTCAAAGCGGCTGTGTGTGAAAGCGTCTGTGTGTAAAAGTGTCTGTGTGTAAAAGCGCCTGTGTGTAAAAGTCTCTGTGTGCAAAAGCATCTGTGTGTAAAAGCGTCTGTGTGTAAAAGAGTCTGTATGTAAAAGGGTCTGTGTGTAAAGCGTCTGTGTGTAAAAGGGTCTGTGTGAAAAGCGTCTGTGTGTAAAAGTGTTTGTGTGTAAAAGCTTCTGCGTGTAAAAGCTTCTGAGTGTAAAAGCCTCTGTGTGTAAAAGCGTCTGTGTGTAAAAGCGTCTGAATGTAAAAGCGTCTGTGTGCAAAAGCGTCTGTGTGTAAAGCGTCTGTGTGTAAAAGTGTTTGTGTGTAAAAGCTTCTGCGTGTAAAAGCGTCTGTGTGTAAAAGCGTCTGTGTGTAAAAACGTCTGTGTGTAAAAGTCTCTGTGTGTAAAAGCGTCTGTGTGTAAAAGCGTCTGTGTGTAAAAATATTTGTGTGTAAAAGTGTTGGTGTGTAAAAGTGTCTGTGTGTAAAAGCGTCTGTGTGTAAACGTGTTTGTGTGTAAAAGTCTCTGTGTGTATTTGCGTCTGTGTGTAAAAGCGTCTGTGTGTAAAAGCTCTGTGTGTAAAAGCGTCCGTGTGTAAAAGCCTCTCTGTGTATAATAAAAGCGTCTGTCTGTAAACAGTTCTGTGTGTAAAAGCGTCTGTCTGCAACTTTACGAAAGATACGATGCAAACTATTGTATTGTACTTGTAATATATTGTTTTGAAACTACTCTTCTCGTCTGCCTATAATACATCTTCAATATATTGTCTTGTAATTTAGTGTCTCCATACTAGCAACAGAAGACTTTGCTCGTCTACGCTCTCGGGCCATCCGTCGTCTAGTTCCATACAAAGCTACAATTTCCGACGCCGTTGCGCGTAGTTCTATTGTGTTTTGCAACTCAGTCTCTGCAGATCGCATTGTAATGGCTGCGCCAAGGTTGCGTCGTACTTTGGCTGCATTTGTCATACTGTTGTCTTTTGCAGCTCGACTTCATAAATCGTATTGGAGTGGCTGCATGAAGGCTGCGAAATAAATTTGTTAGCAGATTTTCCCCATTTTGGCACTAGTGTTTTTTGTTGAACGTAGGTTTAGAGCAGTGGGAAGTGTGGGGCGTAAAGAGTGCAGTGTGAAGTGTGAAGTGTGAAGGAAGCAGTGGGAAGTGAAAAGTGTGAAGTGTGGAGTGTGAAGTGTGGAGTGTGAAGTTTCAGTTTGGAGTGCGAAGAGCGCAGTGTGAAGTGTGAAGTGTGAGGTTTGGAGTGTGAAGGAAGCAGTGAGAAGTGTGAAGTGTGGAGTGTGAAGTGTGGAGTGTGAAGTTTCAGTTGGGAGTGCGAAGAGCGCAGTGTGAAGTGTGAAGTGTGAGGTTTGGAGTGTGAAGGAAGCAGTGAGAAGTGAGAAGTGTGAAGTGTGAAGTGTGGAGTGTGAAGTTTGAAGTTTGCAGTGTGAAGTGTGGAGTGTGGAGTGTGAAGACTTTGCTTCGTCTCTCGCTGAAAAAATCAAACGGTTGTCGAGGGAAGGACACGGTCGGGACAGGGTGTCTTTGAACTATAGGTCATTTATGTTTGGGAAACTTCCGCCGCCGGCTTGCCCGGGTCTATGTTATATATATATATACACATTTCACGGGGATATCAAATATGTGTGTATATATATATATATACATACATGTATATATATATATATATATATGGCTATTCCATTTAATGGTGATGACTAATATATGAACTTCTGCAAAAAAAAAACTAAGATCCTCCTTAAACCAATCAACAGAGAAGTGGCTGTTTTAATAACCATTTTTTTTTAATGGTTTTGAGCTATTTCTTTGTGGAAAGATTCTGGAGTCCATGGAGTTCCCAACCAACTTCATTGGGTGCTCAAGTCAAAGATCTCTTCACCTGCTGTGTGGTGAAAATGAAGCAACACACAGCTTATGTTGATCCGAGTGGATTTATACTTAAACTAAAGGAACTTGACACACACACACACACTTATATATATATATACTGTACATAAATCCCACCGCTCCCCCCTCTTGGATAATGTAAGTATGACATTTAATGAATAATGCTGGAGGGGACATCACATGTTGATACATGTTGTCGGGTTGCAATGGGTCCGGTTGCCAAGTCTTGCCTTGCCTACAAGAACTATGTTGTTCAATCAGAAAAGGGCAACATGATACAAAAGGGATAGGCAACTCTCTCAGCTTTGGCAGCCCTTCTCAGTTTTCCTCACGTTGCAAGTGCTCCTAAGCTGCTCTCGCTCACGGAGGCGCATCACAGCTGTCTCAACGACTTTTCTTTTCCCAGCAATGCACAGGTTGCAGCAGAATGCTGGAAATCAAGGCAGGATTCCACAAGCATTTCATGGTCCAGCAGAACAATGGCAAGACAAAACAAGTGTTCTTGAGCCGAGACGCACATCCAACCGTCCCTCACCTTATTGTTGCACTTGTCTCCGCACTGACTGGCTGGACCATCACCCTTCTTGGCACACTCATTTTTGTATCCAACTAATTTGCCCTTCTTCTGCTCACACATGCAGTTGGTAGCCCCCGTTGCTGTCCACCATCTCATCCTTGCCATGGTCCTCAGGCATCGTGACAAGAACAAATGCAGCCCCACTCTCGTACTGTCCTACTTACTCCAAGGATTCCCTTTTGATTTTAGTCCAAACAGCACTGAAACTTCCGGCAAGGGGGAGCTGAGCTCGAAACCGCATAAAAGATCATAAACCCATTGGGATCCATTAGGAATTTTGGATATTGCATGATATTGCCACCCAAAACAGCTCCGAACAGCTCTGACCAAGGTTCTTCCTCCATGGTCTTGGCTGCGCCGTCAATGCTGACGCTGGCTGGCCGCACAGCCTGATCAGCCTGAAGTGGCGTCACCATGCGAAGCACCAAGACGCAGCGGCGAGCTTTGAGCTTTGAGCAAATCTTCCGTGCTTTGGAAATGCGATGCAAATGGAAACATTAACATTGATAGCGGATGGATTTCAAAAAGTTTGCTGGCAATCCTTTGAGCAATGTCCGGGCTTCCAATATCTGGCAACGTGGTTCACAGAAAGTCAGGATTCCAATGGGATTTCAGCCCAGCATGGCCATGAGACCTGAATTCCTGGAGATCAAACTCACTGTGTCGCCTGCCAAAAACGCAACATTTGGACGCAATGACCTACGTAATCCGACATGATACATAGATTCACATAGATATACATAGTGTCATTGAATAGGTACTGTGGCCATCATAATATATCAAATAATTTTAATATCAACATCATATCATATGGTCATTAAAATTTACGCTACTATACCTCCATGACTAGAAAAAAAAGGGCCCCATCATCGCTCCAAGTGTCGGTTGATATTTCCATGATAATGTTCAGCATCGTGGAGTCCGTGCCTTGGTCGTGGCCAGGTCAGAACACGTGGCTGGGAAATTCCACTGAAATAAAATCCTGGAGGTCTACCCTCAGGTAAACTGTTACATAACTATCGAAAATATGGTGATTAATAGTGATAATATGGTGACAATATAGTGAGAATATGGTGATTAATAGTGATAATATGGTCATTACCCTCTAGTAAACTGTTACATAACTATGGAGAAAATCACCATGTGTAATGGGAAAATCCACTATTTCTATGGCCATTTTCAATAGCGAACTGTTAAATTCCTGGAGGTCGGATATGAAAACCGTCTACAAATGGGAGATGTTCCGTTGCCAAGTGTGATGAAAGTAGGGTAATTATGGAACAACATTGAGATCTAGATCAATAAAGGATACTGTAATATGCATAATGTTTGCCATCCCCGATTTAGCGCTTTAGTATTGCCTCTTGATCCACAAGCGATGAGTTGCTTGGAGGCATAGTCAAAGGCCAGTTCGGATGTGGCTCCCTGGCGACCAGTGTCTGAGAGGGATGTTTTTGAAGCAGAAAGGATCACTGACCTTGCAGGGATATCCAAAGGAGTTTTAAGTGTTCTTTCATTGGTTGAAGTTGGCTGATTATTTCCTTTCCCAAAACACATCTGAAGCTCAAACTGTTTGATCCAGATCCAAAAAAAAGGCAGCTGACAATTATTGAAAGGGAAGCAACACTAGCGAAACCGTTGGGCTACCTGAGCTGATTATTGAAGACACGTTCAGGCTAATGAGTCTAATGCTACCGTGAGGGCCTATCATGCGTCCCAAATTTTAACCTGGAAACCTCACAACTGCTGAGCTGAACCGAAACCTGAATAATTACAAGACATGGACATGCGAAGGTTCTGTCATGTTGCCATCTATTGATGACAACTACACTTTCAAGTAGCTTGGTCCTGATTAAACTCATTTTACCCACCGAGCAACAAGCTGGTCATTTTGAGCATGATGTTCAACCAAGTTATTACATCCCAGCCAATGCTAGCCTGTAAATGTGGTTTGCATTCAAGATGTACGTATAAATATGCATGTGTTTACTATATATCTTGCACACGCACGTAACAATTATTACATATACTGATATCTTCTATATATATATATAATGTGTATATATATCTGTGTGTGTGTGTCTGTCTCTGTCTGTCTCTTTCTGTCTCTGTCTGTCTGTCTGTCTGTCTGTCTCTCTGTCTGTGTGCATATGTAAAGGCATACATGTCCTATGCAAATGACTGGCCTCGCAGCCACCGTCTCCACCGCAATGCTCGGGATTGGGAGTGCAATCCTTGGCTCAGCGGGGATCCAATTTCTCTGCAGAAGGCAGCGGTCCACAACTGCTGGGCTTGTCCTAAAACCAGGGTATGCCAGTAGCTATGTTATTGGACAATTCATAATTTATATGTAATACATCTATCTATCTTGATGACTTCTTGATGGGGATATTTCGATGGGAAATTACGATATAATGAATATAATGAAATATGTTTCACCAAGTTGGTCTAAGTTGATACGCTATTTAGCACGAGTACCCACAAAGTGCAATTTTAATGATACATTGTCATGATTTGAAATCATGAAATTTAGGGTACCCCATTCAGTTCAATCAAACAAGAACCTATTGTGATGCATACCCTATGGAAATCAAACTTGGCTGGCCGGAATCAATTTTGTGGCACATCATCTGTAATATGCTTTCCAGCAAGTCGTGTTTGACAAAGACTCTCAATCCCTGCGCTGCTATCCTACGTCGCAGGCAACACTTCACGAAAACCTTTCCAGAGTCCCAAACTCAATCGAGACAGGCTAGTCTGACATGTTTTGCTTAAAAAAAAAACGAGTACCTTAAACAGCCTTAAACATCATTTCTCCCGCACATGGGTTCTCAATCAAGCCCCACTCAGCAAGAATATCATTTCGATCTTGAAGGATTTCCAAGAATACATCAATGCCAAAGACCAACCATTTCTTGAAGAGTTTAGTACTTGGCACCTGCTTCCCACTCACGCCAAAGGAACCACCAGTTGCTTGAAGGACACATTTTTTGGGACCTCCAGTCGGCTGCAAACATGTTGATGGGTTCAAAGCACAGCAGAACAAAGAAACACATTTCATGTAACACTTGGTGCCATCGGTAAATCTTAGAATTATTCCATGATTCCATCTATTGACACTGAAAACAGCTTCAAATTCATCTGATGTTCAAGCAAGACTCGTAAATCTAATTATTGTGTTTCTTTTTTGGCTTGGAGATGCAACAGCAACATGATTATCCTAAGTATCCATCTATCTATATATATATATATATGTATCATGTCCATGTATCATAGATACAGATTATACAATTATACATACTGATCATACTGTATATATATATACACACATGTGCTTTCCATATATCTCAGCGCTGCATGGATGATGTATGCTGGGCGATGAAACCAGAAAAACAAAAACATTCCGATGAACTGGATCTCGATGACCTCTATTTTTCAGGACTTATAACATCAGGATGTAATAAAACAATATAATGATTTAAGGACGTGACAAGTCCCGTCTCTTGTTCTGACGGGAAGTGGAATCAAGGGATTTAATCGGGTACTGAAATATTCATTGTTTTTTTGTTAGTGGAATATCGATGAAAATTGTACCCTCTGGTTATTTCGCATAGCGAACTGGACAGTCACCATTTTCTTAATTTGTAAATCATACATATATATATATATATTTACAGTATCATCTGTAAATGGACCATTGTCAGTCCATAGCTATGTAAAACAACTAGAAGGTACCGAGCCCTGCTAGCATTGGCAACATTGTGCTGGTGGAGACTCCGAAGTTGCACATTAAAAACCTAGATTTTTTGTGGCTCCAGGTGCTGGTGAGTTTCCCATTATGTGTTTTTCAATCTTCGCGTTTGATTTGTTTGATTTCTTTCTTTGACATCTTCGTATCTTTCTTCAATCCATATTTCCATATATTTCCCACATTCTCCCAGGGCAACAATGTTGCGGTCTTCATCCCCGCCGTTCGAAACAGTCACACCGAACGTCACACAGAAATGCTGCCTGCTTGGAATGTTGCTGCTTCCTGGGACTCCATGGGATCGGCTGTTTCTGCATGGGATCGGAGGAGTGATCTTCATATGCAAATGCACCGTGTATGTTGTGTATGTTCATATGCAAATGTAGAATAATCCATTTAATTATGATATGATTACATAGGTGGTCATGACATGTTTGGAGGATTACATGGGTGTTGCTTTCCCAGGAGTTTTTTTATTGTTAATGTTTTTTTTGAGGCGTTAACTTTTGGGGCCTGCGGATGCTCATCTTTGCGTTCACCAGGGTGGTTGATGGTGGTCAAAATCCCAACCACCATCATTGGATTGTACTGATCACCATAGAGTCCATAGAATCGGATGCCCAACTATGAGTAATACTATGATCGTTTTTGATAAATTTAAATACCTGGGTATAGATCAATGACATTATCATGATATACCCAGTGGGCATGATACCAATATCCAATCTGGATAATCTATAATTGTATGATACCATATTCATATAATTGGATTCACTAAAAACACTATGTTAAATTAAGATACTATCATTGTTGGGATACCAATCTCTCCATAATTTTACCATCAGTGAATCCCAACACTGCAAAAACCAATAACTTTGACCATCGGATTCTTCCTGGGATCAGCCAGGCTCCAAAAGCCATCCCCAAGGGATTGCCATTCGGAGTGTGGCAATTGCAACAGGGATTTCCTTTAACAAATGGCAATTTGTTATATGATAGTAATATGACGGTCATATGGCAATATGATAATAATGAATAGGAATAATGGCAATATGATAGTAATATACCATCATTTTAGTAATAGGAATGATAGTAATGATGGTAATATGATAATAATGATGGTAACATGGCAATATGGTAATGATAGTAATAATATGAATAATATGATGGTAATATGATACTGGTTGATAGTAGACCTACCCCTCTGAACAATATAAAAGTCAATGGGAAGGATGATCCAATATATTATGGAAAATAAAAAATGTTCCGAGCTACCAACCAGTATTAATAGGAAATTGCCATAATTTTACTAGTAATAAGAAAAATCCTCTATGACAATTGCTATTTATTTTTAAAGGATTCAATAGCTTTATTTGCATAATGGCAATTTCCTTTACAAATTCCGTCAACATTCAATTCGTGAAATGGCAAATTTAGAGGAACCCCCTACATGAATCATGGGGTTTTTACCATGGTTTGCTGTAGATTTGTCCCTAAAATCCACTGAAACACATCAAACTGCGGTAATTTTGAGGCATAATAGTGGGGATGGATATCCTATCATATCCCTGGAACTGGGATTTGGTTTCAACGGATTAGCGTTGGCCAAGTCCCCGTTGCTGTTTTTTGTGCTGGTTTTGCAGGTTGAAATCTCTATTGGAACACTAGATGATCTCACCAAATGTTGAAATCTCTATAGGTTTTCCATATATCTATTGGAAATAGATAATATCTATTACTCCATCTTTTGATGGTCCCCTACCAGCCAAAGCACATCGCGATCTCCGCGTGGATTTCAAGCGCGCCCGCGGCAGCCACGGCCCAACATGAGCCGCAGGCACCCTGCTGCTTCACATAGTTACTGCTCACCTTGGAGCAGAAAAAATCAAGGGAACCCATGAAGGTCTAAAGACCGTGTGCAAGGGAAAAAAATATGCAGAACATGGCCATATGCACGATATGTACAATCACACTTATCCACAGTTTAAAATTACAAATTGGGAACACGCATGTTATATATATATATACACATTAAATTATAAATGTTTTTACTATAGATACATACATTGGAATGGAGCACAATTTTATGTGCACAAATATGGGTCTGGAAGAATATCTCCATTTTGGATACCTGAACAGGCCGTTGATAAATTCCCAAAACGCTAGTAAATCTCTACTCATGGACTTGTGATACAGATGGCCCAACTTTGGTTGCTATCCAGTCACCAAGTTGTTTAACAGTCAAAATAGAGGGACAACATATGCGGTAAGTTATTCTGCTATTGTTTAAGGCAAAGACCACGATCTGAAACACAAGACATCATTTGGTTTGGTCCTTAATGGGGACTTGAGACATCAGCCATACCCGTCCCCTTGGAAGTAACATGGGATCCACTCAATGGCCATTTCAGGAACCTAAATTGGAGGCACCTACCGTATATAAGGCCTATATAAGGCCTATGTAAGGGAATATCCCCACACAATATGGCCTTACATGGTCTTGTACCTCCATTTTAGGATCCTGAAATTCCCATTGATCCACTGGCCATAGACCATCCCCAACTATCAACCGTAGCGGGCGGCGATATGAATCACGCCGCTTGTAGGGTCACATGACCAACAAAAACAGCAACACATTATGAAGGGTTTATCGGATTTATTGTGAATCCATCATGAAATTGTGGGTTACTAACTGTTTTAGTGAATGTATTGTTGCCAACTATTTCCATCTAACTACAGTGATTTGGTCAGCAAAAACCCAACAGTTAACAGAGTTCCTCGAATATCACCTTGTATGTATACATGTATGTATGTATAAATAAATATATATACCTATACATATACATATACATACATATACATATACATATACATATACATATACATATATACATATATATATATATATATATATGTATATACATATATATATATATATGTATATATATGTAGATATGTGTGTGTGTTTGAGTGTATCATCATTTTTGCTGCTTAAATCACCAGTTGTGATGCTTAATTAAGGCTTAAACCACCAGTTTTATGATTCAATCACCAGTTTTCAAGGTGAAATCACCATTCGCAAAGTTCATGTTTCCAATACATATCCCTTAATCGTTTGAGTTGATTGTTAAGCCACAATGCCTTTGGATGATCTTCCAAGTGAGCCATTCAAAATGCCCCTATCCCATCTGACTATCCTAGTTAGTTGATAGATGTTGATAGGTTTCCCATTCATATGGGTGAGTTCATAGGGGCCGATAATTCCAATCACAACAAATGGTATAACTCCGTAGCCACTGGCGCATCGTCCCATCGTCCAAGTGGCCAGATTCTGGCGCCAATCCACCCTGGCCTCATCGTGGCGCCGCACCACTGCGGCCTGCATGTTGGGAGATCTTGAGAGATACATTCCACCAAACATTTTTGGGGTTGATGGGGACTTAACCAACTGGACATACTAAATTGCATGGATAAATTAGGGATTTAAAGAGGATGTTTGAAAAGGGAGAGTTTATGATATCATCAGATTTACTGGATATGATATTGAGGCGACTCTGGACATGAGGACATTCGTAAAATGGCAGTTTCATCGGGAGATAATTAACGATTGCATTCAAACCCATGGTCATGGTCTTTATATGCCGACCTGTCTGAAGGAGGCGGCCGGAGGCGCAGGTCTCAACGGTCTCAACCACCACTTGCCCAGGCGGCGGTGGCCCAACAACGCCTTGTGCCAGGGTGGCCATGGAAAACATGGTGCTGGTATATGTTTACGAAGCTGGGTGATGTTGAAGATGTTTGGATATTTTTCGGATAAGATGGAAAAAAATGATAACTATTCCAGCACCATGGAGCGTATGGGATGGTGAAAGTGGATGTTGTAAACCCAATGCTCATGGATTTTCATAGATTGTTTCAAGTGGTATCAAGTCGTGAAAGTAAAAATCCGCAAATTCCTATATACATGGATTGGTGGGCTATCCAAAGTTGTACCCTGGGGTGCGTTAAAATCAAAAAAATGCATTTGTAGACGATGAACACATATTTACCGATTTACCTATTAAAAACGGTGATTGTCCATAGCTTCAAACCACTACCAAAGGATCAATTCACCAATATTCCACAATATTCCCTTAATATAGCATGAATATTCCGTCATTAATTAAATCATTATACAATTATATTACCATTATACCACATGACCAAAAGGGTAAATCCTAGATCTCTCAGCTGTTTTGGGAACCCAGGATCACCAGGATTCCAGCGCCACAGGATGACCCAGAGCTTCGTGCCGATGTGCAAGTGCTGTGGGAATCAAATATTTGGGGGATGTAACAAAATTAACAAACAAAGACTGTGATTAAGGGGAATTTAACCACTAAACTTAAATCACACGATTTAACCATATTCATCATTGTGATGTAAACGTAGATCCAACTCATCGGAACAGCATGAACAGAACATCCATGCACATCGCAGGTACGGCCGATTTGTCAACAAGTTGATTTTGTAACAGTTAGTCATCCTGTTCCGGAGTCACATTGCCATGTTGGGGGTATATACCCCAATTTAGACACACCAATAAATATGATGTTGCTGGCTACAATCCATTTAACGTACATCCCCACACAATATCCGATTGCATTCCTTTTTAAATTTTTAAATCAACATTATTAGCCTCTGGCAATCAAACATGGCAATGGAAGAACCACCATTTTCTGTATAGATGTTTTTTTTCCATTTCAATGCTCAAGTCTAGGGGATTTCCCAGCCAGCTACGTTAGATTATCAGAGGGTAAAGGACCATTGTTGATGATCACATCCACATTGATGTCCTATTAAATCCCAGTGTCTAATGTTAGATCACCATTGATTTTAATGACAATTTGTAATTGTGAAATCACCATCTTTGATGGTTCAATCACCATGTTCCATGGAAAAGTTTCACCATTGTTAAAGATTTTTCACAACCGTTCCCCATGGTTACGTATCACCATTGGTGATGGTTTTCATGTTGTTTAATGACTGTTTTTGATGATAACATGATCCTCAGAAACAAAGAAAACTAAGACAAATGAAAACCATCACCAATGAAAATCCTAAAACCATCTAGCAATCAATGACGGTTTTTAATGATGCTATCATTCTTTTTTGTTTAATGACTGTTTTCTCAAAGAGATTCCGAAACGCCACTCTTCGGATCAGCTCGATCTGCTCGACGGTCCTTGAACTCGGCCGCCGTCCAAGTGATGCCTCGAACTTGGGGAAACCATGGAAAATTCCAAGGGAACCCATGGAATCGGCTCAAAATGGACCTGAATATAGGTTGTAACAATATATGTCATTAACAATCCTAAAATTCCACTGAGTTCTCCCTTCAGATCGCAATAAAATGGGGCGTCCCCATGTTTGAAGAATTACCCAGACCTGGTGCCCTAACGCAAAAAAAGGACACATCATCTAAAAGCAGGTTACTCGGTTACTCACGAAAATCTATTTCATGTTACTTACCCAAGTTCTAATTTAAACTGTGCGAAGCTTTGGCGATTTCATACCAGTAAACATTTTGAAGCCAAGTTTCTGGCACGTCCAGCGCCAGTGCTGCAGTTAAGGCCCGCTGTAAATTAGCTCTTTATGGGGTAAGGCACCCTGCAAATCCAATCCTAAGCTCAGTTTAACACATCATAAGACCGCGTGAAACTGTCATTTGGGCACATCATTTTCCACAATCATGTGATTCACAACGGCCTCAAAACAATGCGGAACCTCAAGGTTACCCCATGTTTTGGTGGCAGATTTCGTTCCACTTTCCAAAGCGAAATGAGGAGAGGGATTTGTTCGCATGTGGAATGTCAATTTTAAGAAGAAAGAACATGTGGCAAACACACAAACCTTTAGATATGATTCGAAGTGGCTCACCCCCGCTTGATTGACTACAGAAGTAACAATGATTCGTCAAAATTGAAGCGTTGGAATAATGTTGGAATCAACTCCCGCACCAGACAAATCAATTGATTTTTCATGACTTCATGTCATGACATCGGCCTTGCAAGAATCCATTCTCATTGTTCATATCATGAAGAATCATGAAGGCATGAATCATATAGGATCAATCCTGCATGTGTTTTCTGGTTGCATTGACTGAAAATGATATGCCCAGCATTTGTTCGCTATCGTTTGATGCATGTCTGATACCCATGTGCCCCCCCACCCGCGGCCCGAGTAAGGCAACGTTTTGGAAGCCATCTTCGGCTCGTCAGCAGCAACACAAGTCCAAAGAACACATTTTTTTTTGTGTTGCCATATTCTTGGAGGATCACTCCACTTTCGCAGTATATAATAAATGCATGGTAATGAGTGGTTAGTCGGTTAGTCAGTGGTTAGTGAAATATCCCCATTTATGGAATGATAACCTCATTCATGTATAACCATTTATAACCATTTGTAAATATATATTTATATTTATATATATTAATATTTAATACAATTTAAAACAATTTATATGTAACGAATTATAACTGGTAACGCACTGCAAGACCCTACTTTTACATTGGAAACTCCTGGAATCGGGGACTTTTTGACCAGGGTAACACTTACCATTTACGACCCGTGGGATGATTTTCCGGTGTCATCATTGCCATGGACAAACAAGTCGCCGTGGCCCCCAGCCATGGAGGTTTAGTTTGCGGGAAAATTCACATACAGCAAATACATAAATACATAAATAAATGCATAAATAAATACATAAATAAATACATAAATAAATACATAATTACTTTACTTCGTGTGATCCCCACCATGACATTTATACATTTTCTTACTGGCAAATCTTCTGGCATTCTATCTGACATATCTTCTGACATTCTATTTGACATTTTATCTGGCATATCTTCTGGCATATGATCTGGCATATCTTCTGGCATATCTTCTGGCATTCTATCTGGCAAATCTTCTGGCATTCTATCTGGCATATCTTCTGGCACTCTATCTGACATATCTTCTGGCATTCTATCTGGCATATCTTCTGGCATATATTCTGACATATATTCTGACATATCTTCTGGCATATATTCTGACATATCTTCTGACATATCTTCTGGCATATCTTCTGGCATATCTTCTGGCATATCTTCTGACATATCTATCTGGCATATCTTCTGGCATATTTTCTGGCATTCTATCTGGCAAATCTCCTGGCATTCTATCTGGCATTCTATCTGGCATATCTTCTGGCATATTATCTGGCATTCTATCTGGCATATCTTCTGGCATATATTCTGACATATCTTCTGGCATTCTATCTGGCATTCTATCTGGCATTCTATTTTGCATTCTATCTGGCATATCTTCTGGCATATCTTCTGACATTCTTTCTGACATTCTTTCTAACTTTCTTCTGCACATTCTTTGTCCCATATCTTCCTACATGAGGTCCGGCAGGGAACACTGGGCGTGGATGGTCGTGGTTGAGGTCCGGCTGGGAACACTGGGCGAGGATGGTCGTGGTTGAGGTCCGGCAGGGAACATTGGGCGTGGATGGTCGTGGTTGAGGTTCGGGAGGGAACACTGGGCGTGGATGGTCGTGGTTGAGGTCCGGCAGCGAACACTGTGGATCGCGAGTCGCAGTTGAGCAGGAGGACGAGGAGGACAACGAGGACGACGAGGACAACGAGAGGACGACAAGGATGACAAGGAGGACGAGGAGGACGAGGAGGAGAGGAGGAGGAGGAGAGGAGGAGGAGAGGAGGACGAGGCAGGAGGAGGAGGAGGCAACTGACATAAAATCTAACAACCCTCACCTGGCAGGTGGGGAAAAATATTATATATATATATTTAATGGTATGTATATATATATAATATGTGTTAATATATGTTTGTTTTTAATGAATAGCAGGCTTTCCAGCACGCCATGTTTGATCCTGGAGGGTACGACCTGCGCTGCCCGTGGTGATGGTCGACTGTTCTCATCTGGACGAGATACTCCTTTGATTTCTAGTTCAGGAGTCAAGAAAAACTAATTGGTGGTTGACCTACCCCTCTGAAAGATATGAAAGTCAGATTGGATCATCATCCCAACTATTGGGGAAAAAATGTTCCAAACCACCAACCAATAAATATAAGCATATACAGTTCAAGAGATGTTCAAGGGTATAATAAACTGGCTGGCGGTTTTGACCATCTTGAAAAATATTAGTCCATGGGAAGGATTATCCCATATATTATGGAAAATAAAAAATGATTGAAACCACCAACCAAATATACATTGCGATTGCTGTACATTTTTTCCCTTTGGTCATTTAACATGGCCATTGAAAATCAATATCTTTGATAGGAAAGTCATCAAAAATCATCTATAAAAGGGGATTTTCTAATAGCTATGTTAAATAACCAAAGGGTATACGTATAAATGTGTGTGTGTGATCCCGTGTCTCGTATTCACGTCCCTCCCACCTTCTCCATCCTTCTTCCACCCCCCACCACCCCGCACCCCCCACCACATCCACAAGGGACGGTACATAGACATATCCATACACAGAGACAAATACATACCCCCCCGCGTGCAAGTACATATATATATATATATATATTTACTTACTAATTACATATGTATATTTATATATATAACAAATACAAATATAAATTATGTATACATATAGATGCACACATACTTGCATAACCTTGTATATATCACCATCTCGGGGGGAGTGGGGGCCACCAAACGCTGGGCCATATAGGTAAATATACACACACAGACGTAAAATATCATATATTATTTGTAACCAAGCAATAAAATTAATAAAAATGTGCTATATATTAACTGACCAACCGCTGATGATATTACCGTATATATCATCAGAATGGCAACATATTCATCACATAAAACTAGATAGTGTACACTATTGTAACAGTATTTAGCAATCATACATGAGAAAAACATAATCAGTCAGGATTTTGCTCTGTTTTTGTGGCCTCACATCCACGCGGGTCCCATCAACGGCATGGTCGCCGGCTTCTGGGCATCTCCCAACGTCTGCCGGCGCCGGTTGGCTGCGCTGGCGTCCGCGGAACGCGCGTAGGGCCGTCGTAGGCCGTCCTTCTTCAGGGTGCAGCCGAATCCGGGCTTGGACAGCTGCTCCTGCAATGATCTATGGATATAGTTGGGATATTTATATATATATATATAGTGGGAGGTGTGCGATTATATAATATATATATATAGGTATTATATTATCTTACAGTTTAAATGAGAATATATTATATATTATATTATATTTTAAAATATATTATTGTATATAATATTATTTTAGATTACATTATATGATATATTTTTATCATAATATATATATACGTGTGTTTTTGGGATAAATGTACCCACTTTGTTGGCATTGCTCTCATTGTTAGTTGTGGTAGTTGTGGTAGTTCAATGGACAAACAAATGATACGGATGGAACCAGTTTGGAACCCTGTCCTGCCATGTGTTTTTGACGGCCGCTGCATGGTAAAGATGGCGATGCGGCGCTGAGGATAATCTGTAGCCAAATCTATGTAAAATTCAAAGCTGTATTAATGCAAACCATCTAACGGCCAAAAACACATCTAAACCTCCGTATGGCTGGATATCGCCGGTTAACACTATCTATCTGTCAATCTGTCCCTCCGTCCGTCTGTCCCCGTCCGTCTGTCTCTCTGTCTATTTGTCAACCCATCTATCTACCATTATCTACCCATCTATCTATCTACACATCTATCTATCTACCCATCTATCTACCTATTTGTCTGTCTTTCTATCAGTCGACCTATCTATCTATTGATCTATCTATCTATCTATCCATCCATCTATCTATCTATTTACCTGTCTAGCTGTCTATCTGTTCACAGATCTATCTATCTAATCTAATCTAATCTAATCTAATCTATCTATCTATCTCTATCTATCTACCCAGCTATCTATCTATCTATCTACCTACCTACCTACCTAGCTAGCTAGCTAGCTATCTATCTATCTATCTATCTATCTACGCATCTATCCATCGATCCATCTACCTATTCAATCAATCAATCTATCTATCTATCTATCTAGCGACCTATCGACCTATCTATCTATATTGCCAAACATTGACAAGCAAACAAATAACAAAGCTTTAACCCCCCCACCGAAGCTTTAAGCCCTCAGGCTCCAGCGTGATCTTCCCGTCTTTCGGCAACGGTTCGTCAGGGAACAAGCCACCAAAGTAGGGCTGGATGGAGGCGGCATCCGGCGACAGGTTGATGAACTCACACAAGGGCGCGTTGGTAAATGCGAATTGCAAGTGATACGAATAGATGGAAGACCTGGTTCCGGTTGGTGGGGCTCCCCAAGTTTCAATGGAATGGCTTGTTTGTCGATGGATCTTTAATCGAACCATTCATTTTATTGAATATACTGCAAATAAATGTATATACCTTGAGTCAACGACCCTTAATTTTTTGGGTCTTTCAAGAAAAATGACATGTTTTTTCCGAAAGTACTTTTTTTGAAATCAAGCATTTTTTTTGGCATAACTGTTAGTGATGTTTACTCATGGAGGTGCGCTGAAGCAGTGGAAGTCAAAATAAATATGCCGCATTGCCGACTTGCAATTCATCGTTGCAGGTGCCATTTTGATTTTGACTGATTGAAGGTGCAGGAGCAAAAAACATCCAGAGTATTGGTTCTCGTTTTTGTGTTTGATGCCATGGTTTCGATCTTCTTTGCTTTGATTTTTGGCCGCTCTTTGCTCTTTCATTTTTGCACGTGCGAGGGTAGGTCTCAACACTCAGTTGTGGACATACAGGTGCATTGCCCAATTTTGGGGACACATTTTCCTTGGAAGATTTGCCCACGCAATGCGAACAAGCAAAGGCCTTTTTTTCTTCAAACGCATTTTTTTTCACTGAGGGCTGTCCAGACGGCGTCCGAAAGTACGGGAAAATGCGTCCAAAGTATGGAAATATCCATCCAGTTTGGTCCCGTCCGAACCAAAAGGATTTTTTGTTTAAAACTTACCTTTTTTTTCACGTCCGTCCGTCCATCAGTCAAAACTGTTTCAGCAGTTGGCACCACAAGATCAGGGCGAGCAGATGTGCTCAAACCCTGTGTATATTTTGCAGAAGTTTCGCAATGTGCAAATGTTTGCCCCCGCAGCTCATTGTAAAAAGCAGGCATTAAAGCTTTATATTTCGACACGAATCGTGGATCCAAAGTTGTTCAACCAAGAAGTTTTAGTCATGCGCCTGGGTCTGAATGACGTGTGAGGGTGCCTGGTTCAACATCAGGCAGGACAAGCACAAAACGCTCACATGATCTAGCTTAGTGTATATAGCCAGCACCTGCTTGGAAGATAAAAGGCCTTTTTTGCATGAAACGACCCAAACAAGTATCGAAAATAACCCAAAAAGAGGTGTTTTGCAAACGACCCCAAAAACGAAGGGTAGTGGAGACTCCAGGTGCATACAAACATCCATGGAATGGTTTCATGGAAAATCTTAGCCAGAAACGGATTTTCTCTTGAAATATCAGGCGGTTTTCTGCTCTCAATGTTTAAAACCTGGACCAAGCCATTTAAATTTACATCAACAATATGCCAAGTGGCTCCCATCGGTATAACGATGTTCCAGCTGGGGCTTCCCAGTTGGTTTATGAATCCCACCAAGCTGAAAGGCCTGAATTTGGAATCACTACACCCCAATTCTGCTGAATTTAATTAGGGGGGTACCCCCAAGATAGTGATACCCTCCGGTACTCAAACATGGCAGTTCAAAATCCTTTAAACAAATTGTTGTTCTACTGAGAAATTGATCTATAAATGGTGCATGTTCCACTGCCATGTTTGATTACCAGGTGGAATTTGCCACTAAGATTGATATTCCCACATATTGGTACACCTGTGTTTTTTTTCAATACTCGGATAAAAATCAAAGCAAGAATGCCCAAAAAAAAACATGCCTTCCACCACCCGAAGGACCCATGCGGCACCACCAGCACATCACTGGCTGAAGCCATGACCATGACGCGTCGTGCTTCCGTGATGCCCCCCAGCCATGTAATGTCCTGACGGCTCCAACCCCTCCAGAAGATTACAAAACTATTACCCTCTGGCTACTTAACATAGCTATGGAAGCCATGTCTCGTTTATAAATCACAAACATCATGATTTACCTATTAAAAAAGTGTTATTTTTCCAGTTCGCTATGTTGATCACTGGGGTATGATGGCGGGAAAGGTTCCCTCCACGAAGTATCTGGATCCCACAACTGGGACCTTATCGCCACAGGGGAAAAATGTCAGACAGGCTGAAACTCAATAATATGTATTTGTCAATTGTGGATAGGGGTGCGCAAATCCACCACCTACAAACTAACGAATTCTTAAGGCCCCTAACCTTTCCAACCGGGTCTGCCCACCTGTTCAGCGGATCTTGGATACTCTGCAGGAAATCAGACAGGGCAATCTCCAGCAGTATAAATGTATGCTCCATTTTTTTCATCTACGGTTCACCGAGGTTGACACAGTTATATTTGTCTAAAGGCATCACCTACTAGATTGTTCTGCAAACCAAGGTAATGTTGGAAAAAAAAAAGAACCGGTGTTTACCCCCTATGGCCCAATTTACAACCCCCTGTCAGACAGGTTGTATCGGAGAAAATTGATAAACCTCCCAACTCGGAAATGATATTGATTCTCCCACTTTCAAACCATCAGTTGCTTATTTATGATTTTATGGTTATCCAGTTGTAGTGTCGCTATATTTTACCCAGTTGCATCCCCATTACATATATATATATCCCATTGTATCACCATTGTTTCCCGCCATTTTTGATGTTAAATCAAATTTAACAAGAACTGTTGATGTCTAAATCTGACTTGTTGATTCAAAAAAATGAAGGTTAAATCATCATGGGTCATGGTACAAATTAGTGACAGTTGAATCCCGGTCTGTGATTCTAAGATGCCAACTGTTGATGGTTAAACCATCCATTAAAATTGTTGGTATCATTCTAAATTACCAGTGTAAATACATAATTGGTTGTATTTAAGGACCATGTTGGATTGATTACTACCAATGATGGCACAATCGCCAGTGTAATGACTACTGGCAACTATTATAAATTGTTGTGACCATTTATGACAATAATTATATCATTGCTTTCAACACCAGTAAATAATAACAACCACTAATTACCGCAATGTTTCATCAGTTCCCTGCTTGTTGGATAAGCACATGCTGAAACCTCCCGCCAGGCATCAGGCTGCAGGATGTGCGCTGCCTTCTTATCCAGCAGTTGTTTGAAACCCCACCTGGGATGCGCAAAAGACCGGCAAAAACCACAGTTTGTTTAAGACTTTTTCCGCACAAAGCAGCAAACACATGATTTCCCCAATGATAAAGAATGGCAGCTTAACCAACAACAACTATCAAGTATGATCTTTAATTTCGTCAACCAAAGAAAACATTTAACCGGTGCAAATGAACAAATATTGGGATTTCAACCCACCAAGGACGGTGTGGCTGAAAAATAGCCTAAAGAATATCAACATTTTTTCAACCCTAATTTTATCCCTTTTAAATCCTATTAAACCTCATTTTTGGTTCATATACGGGGATGGGATTTTGACTGGTTTGTAACTAACAGAACTGGGGTCTATGATATCTCTCTATATTGAAACAAATCATCTAAGTCAATCTATATCTCCAATTTCAATGATCATCATTCAACATCCCAAACAGCCATCATTCAACTAACTAGTTAACAAACTCCATGGCCCAAGTATATCAACCACCAAGTACCCCCTGGTAAACGTTTACATAACTATTGGAAAATCACAATTTTTCATTGGAAAACTCACTATGAATGGTGGATCTTTCCATAGCTTTTTGTAGGTTTCACCAGAGGGTATATCACCATTCATCACCATTCATCACCATTATTAACCATCATTAACCATCATTAACCCCTATAAACCAAAGGGTATATCAACCACCAAGTATATCAACTGCTTTCTAGCCTCGCGACCTGGTGTATTCGTGTTCCCCGGTGGTCAGCATCAGTCCCAGGTTGACCACCGCCTTCATGACCTCCTCAGTCGAGTGAAAAACTGGGAAAAGGTTGGTGTTTTAACCCTGGTTACCCTCTGGTTATGTCAACATAGCTATTGAAAATGGCCATTTATGACGGATTTTCCCATGAAAAATGGTGATTTTCCATAGTTATGTAAACGTTTACCAGAGGGTAAGACCTATGGGTCAAAAATAGCTGATTAATGGATGGTTATTCCCCAAAAAAGAGGTTTTGATCCATAGCCATATAAGATTTAATGGGACTTGATGGGAGTATCATTGAAATGTAATGGAATAATGAATGACATGGGGTTATCATTATCCCCATGTAATAATGTATTATAATGGTATATAATGGGAGATAGGAGATATTTTGTAATCATTGACATGTGACAATAGGGGAAACAATGGGATTATAATGGGATTATGGCAATGGATTGGTCTTCCAGGGAACACCTTAACCCAGAACCATGGATTTTCCGAAGAATTATGGGCGGGTTCCGGTTCCAATTTTCTCTTAAACGAATCCATGCACGGTCCACGGTCATACCCATTGTCATGGACAAAGAAATTATGACCCCAACAAGAAATAATATATAGATATGTTAAATTTCTTATTGCCCACATTTTACATTCTTGTGTTTTTGTTTACACGTTGTCATTTTGATTGGATGCTAGTGGTGTTGTTGAACATCCAGAATATCCAGAATCTTGGTGATAAAATCTTCATGGTTGGGAAACAACACTGTGCTGTCTTGGTCATTGCTTCCAGGTCCCAAGCTTCAAAACCATTAGTTTGGTCAAAACTATTCATCCTCAACTATTTTCTTCGCTAGCATCCACCCACATACGTTGTCGCCCCGCCCTGCTGGTACCTAGACCAACACTGCATAGAGTTGATACATAGAATATAAGCGCAATTATGTTTTGTTTTTTTTGCAGCAAATAAAGTATCTATCAATCTCTATCGATCTATCCATCCGCCCATCTATATATCTCAATTTATACCTAACCTTGGGTCATAACTTCTGAATCCACTCCCCTTTGCCCAGCCATCGGTCTCCTCATAGCCATCATAGGCATCGGGCGGCAGGAACTCCTCCATCCACGTGAAGTGCAGATCGCGCTCAGCCAGGCGACGCGCCAGGGTGATGCTGTAGGGCACCGTGAGGGCCATGTAGCAGTCCAGCATCAACGGAAAGTCCGGACCCACCTAGAAACAAACGGTAAGTCGCCGGAGGATCAGAAAAGCTATGAATGTAACATGGTCATTTTTTGATGTAGGTATTATGGTATATTTAAAATATATAATATGTTTCAGTATATACCGTATATAACTTGAAACATATATATGCACACATCCATAAATGAAATATAATAAACATATGATGGTATGAATGGTATGTGTATATTACTAATTTACTAAGCCTTAGTTCTTCAATGAGACCAACCAAGTGAGACATTGGTGATGCACGCCACAGAGTGAGTGATTGGTGATTGCCCCCCCCAAGCTGGATCATATTCAAAGTGACTTCCAAGAATTCACCTAGTTACCCTCCGGTGTCATCAAATGTGGCTGGAATATCCACCATTTACCCTCTGGTAAACCTTTACGTAACTAATCATAACTATGGAAAATCACCACTTCAATAGGTAAATCAACTATAAATGAGCCATTTTCAATAGAAAACTGTTAGTTTACCAAAGGGTATATAGCTGGTGAGCTATACACCTCCATTGAGTTCGATGATTTCCAGAGCAGCTGATGGCGGGACCTTGTCCCTGCACTCCTTCAGGTACTTGACCTGGTGCGGAATCATCACGGGGGGATTTAATCAACAGCAATGGGGATATCGCCATATATGGGATATTATGATATATATTATAAATGATTATATAAATATGTGAATGATGATGATGATGATAATGATGATGATGATATCTAGCTAAATTCTGAGAATTCACCAATCGGAAGATAGCTGAAAGAGGGCCATTTGGGGATGATTCCCTTCTCTAACAATTGTCCAGTGACTGTCACCGTGAGATCATTACAATTCATCCAGATCCCATTTGCATGAGGGAAGCTATCTCAGGATACAAGGTGGCGGTAAACATGTAATTATTTGGGCAAGTTGAAGTAATTTAATTTAATGTTCAAACTCTCAAATAACCCCGCTTCAGTGAACATGTGTAAACATGGGGGATAATATACCTGCGGAAACTCATTAATAACTTATATAACCATCACATGGTCCAAATCAGCTGCCCAGCCGGGGCCCAGCCAAACATTACAACCTCAAAAAGTGCAAAGAAATCATTGGATTTTCAAAATATACTAATACAGTTACATAGTAGTCGCCAGTAAGAAAACACATTGGAGCATAACACTGAGAAAGAAAAAACAACCTTCTGAATTCTGAACATCACATGTACCTGATCACCATGCACCATGATCCTTTTACATCAATTATGTATATGCTTATATATGCTACATTTTTTGATATGTTGATGATTGTTGATGCTTAATCTCCATTCCTTCTGCTTAACCCCCATTTTATCCCCAATACATATCAATATTGAAAGGTCAATCTCAAACTTGGCTCCCAGTCTTCATCATATCCGCAATATATACCAATGTTTGAAGGTTAGTCCCAATTTTTTCCAATGACATCCGCATTGTTGTTGCTTCATCCAGCATTGATCTCAGCGACATCCACATTTTTGCTGGTGAAATCCTTGATTCCGTAAGCAAAATCGCCATTCTTCACCATTTTCTTGGGTGAAATCGCCAATCCTCCCCATGATTCCCGCAGGGTCCCAGCCGAGCTTCGTTCTTCTTGAAGCCTTCCGCGCCATCGGCCGGGCCGAAGGGACACGGCACCTTGCAGGCCACGAAGCCCATGGCTTTGCCCAGCTCAGGGCGACTGGTGGTGGTGTACATGGGTAGAAAGGGCTTCGTAGCACCTGCGCACGCCCAGGGCGCACGCCGTGCATGGATAGGCCTAGCCTAGTATACTTAGCATAACTTAGCGCAGTGCCATATGGTCCCACTAATAGGCAGGTGTTTTTTTCAACCTGGTCAAGAGATAAGGTTGAGGGGGTTCCTAATATAGGGGCACCTCCAAATCATCCAAACATTCCAAATCTAAACTCAATATCATTATTGAAAATCAGGGGTTTAGGGTACAACCCAAGTTTTGGGAAACAACCATGCCAGTAGAAATGGCAGTTGTGATCATGGACAATGACTTCCAGTGCTTTCCGCGAGTGTGGCCACAATCACCCTGAACTGATTCCTCAAGTATCTCAAGTGGAATCCTAATCCACTTGTAGAGGGACACTAGATAAGCCTGGTTGATGCATCACGGGGTTATCTGCCAGAACAATATGTTAATGATTTGCTACTAACTAATACTCGGTCCATTTTTCACAGCCTGGGGGGTTAGCAAAATCCGGGGTTGATATGATACTTCAAACGGGACCACCATTTTTAGCCCCAACCTCCCAGCAGCATGTAAACGGGTTCCTGGCGCAACTTTCCCAGCAAGTCCCAGAGAGCCAAGTCAACCGCACTTATCGCTTGGATGGGAAGACCCTTGCGACCATAGTTGACCGTTGCGCGGAACATTTGGTCCTCAGAAATGGGTCCAGATTTGGACTGGATTGCTCCCAAGACCTGAAATACCAGGGGGAAACAGCCTGGTAGATAAAGAGATAAACAATATACGATTGTTCCCTATTCTGGCTACGGCTACTGAATGATTTTCCTGTATTGGGTTGGAGCACCGCAGATATGGGGAAACTTCCTGCAAAAATCTGATTCTAAGTCGTTTGGAGCAGGCCAAGGACACAACCACTTTATGCGCGCTAACGCTACGTAGCTGTGTCACTTCGGAATGGCAACACAAATGAGGCACTAAGGGTGGCCCACCAAATCTGGGCATTCCATCTTTTGAAAAACATACTGGTAGCGTCATGTGGCAAAACATAACCGCCATATCTCAACTGAGATTAGGATCCCACATCAGCTCGATGTTGCGCGGATCCTGTCCCTCGCAGAAACGGCTCAGGTGATGCTCCACGATGTAACAGCCTGCCTCGCCGCCAATGGTGACACCTACGCCGCAGGTACCATCCTCCGCCTCAACCTCCACCACCATACCTGAGGCAGGGGCTTGGGCTTTACCCAGCCAAAATGGTGAATTTCACCAAGCAATAAGTGGGGCTTAACCAAGAAAATATGATGACTTAATCATCCAAAAATCTGGATGTCACCAGCCAAAATGGAAAACTATGGAAGATCATATCGTGATTCCCTCCCCGTCAAGCGGACAGTATCCAGTAAACACTTTGCTATAGTAATTATGGGGTAGTATTGGACAAAATCTGTTCATTTTGGGCCCCCTTATTGTTGGGAATCTGATGCTTTATGGGATTGCTTCATAAACTAAGACATTTTAGGCATGATTTCTCTTACAAACTTGTCCGTGTAGTGAGGTTTGCTGGGGAAATTTTAGACACCTAATTTGCACCGGTTGAAGCCAAGCGAAGATGAATGAAATGCGAATTGACCGGAGGTCAAGAAAATACCGATTCAAACAAATGGTATCCCTGAAAATATGATGACATGAAACGTTTTTTTATGTGGGATTGAGCATCCCATCTGGTCAACTTACCAAGACAAGGCTCAGGGTAGAGAAGCTCTAAAATGATGTGCTCTATATAGGTTCCAAAGGCACTTAGTCCCCTTTACTTAAACAACAAGTTTTGTTCTTAGCACCACACCCTAGAAATTAGCATGCAACCTGCACACACAATTTCTAGATTCCAAATCAGTCGTTGCGAAAACAAACACTGAGAATGACCAGTATTTCAGTATTTGACTCTGCTTACGAAGCTATCCAGTGTATAGCAATTGGAATCATCTACCGATGCCAACGGTTGACCACAAGTGTGTGGGTCAGTGCCTCTCTGACGAACTTGATCCTATTTGGGTTTGCCGGTGACGAAATAAAGTAGTTTCACCTCCATAGATTTGTTTCTCAATCAGGACCCCCAACATGACAGCCAAATTCAATCGAATGCTGTCACAAACGATGAACACAATGCTTTGTGTGAATCTTAACCTCCAGAATTCCATAGATCTATCTTCATGTATCTTCATCTTCATGTTTGCCAATCCTTTCATCTTTGCACGTCGTCTCCATCTTCATCTATCAATCACCCTATCCATCATATTGGATTTACTTAAAGAAACCGCAAAAATATATGCGTTTTTTTCTAAAGATACCGCATTCGTAGTGGATCTCCAATTAGGACAATGTGTTAAATCTTCTCAACAAATCAGTGAGTAAAGTGAGTAAGTTGTGTCCATATCTCCATTGTATCCCCATTACCCTCTGGTAAACTAACATAGCTATAGAAAATCACCATGTTGAATGGAAAAACACACTATAAATGGCCATTTTCAATAGCTATGTTAAATCTTCTCAACAAATCAAGGTAAAGTGAGTAAGTTGTGTCCACCATATCTCCATATTGAAAACCCCTATTATATCAGAGTATATCCCCATCAATTCACTCAGCTTCCATCCATAAAACCAGGTCATCTTCGATGAGTCGCTGCCCATGGCATTGATCCCCCAACTCTTGCGGAAGCGCTTGTAAGGCGGATGCACCGACATGGGATTGGCGATGGGCAGGAGCTCACCTAACTTGCCAAAAAAAAAAAAAAACGCTTCGCTGGAAAATGCCCAGTGCCTGGGTCGAAATCCCCTAGTTCAGTGGAAGTTTGAATGGGAAAACCGAGGAAAAAAACATGGGAAATCCATGGAAGTCTTCTATAAATGGAGGGTTTATGGCTGCATGGGAAAATCCATGGGAAAATCCGTGAACATCCTCTAGAAATGAAGGTTTATAGCTGGGAAGAGTAATCTCTAAGCGGGGGGATTTCCGATTGCTATGGTTGATTACCGAGGGAGAGTTATCGGATTAGTCTGATTGGTTGGGAAATCTATGGTGAGCAGGGTTGCGCCCTTCAAATATATGGTGATTTCCAAGTACCAATTCTGAGAGACATGGAGCAAATTGATGCTCTTCCTTCTGTATCCAAGTACCTTCTAATGGGGAGCATTTGTGCATTTTGGGGTATGAATTTGGGGGCGAAGTACATGTTCAAAAGCTACTTGGATCCACAGGGCTTTCTTTGCCACCCAACTATAACATCAGCCAGGTATATGTCCCCAACCGGGGGAAAAACACGTCAAAAAAATGCGCAGAGACTCTGGAACATGGCAACGGATCAGCATCAACACTTATCTTCATCCAGCAACATCATTTTTTATACTATTTGGTTTAACCGCGTCGTATCCCTTACCTAATGCTCCCTTAGCTGGGGTATACCATTGTCAATTCAATAGCGTCTACAGGGATATCACCTTCAAAGCCCAATGTAGTATCCATCCCCCCAAAAAATGATTCCCCAAGTCTCCAAGTGTGAATTTCTGATTGGGAAAATTAAAAATCAAGTAAATATCCCAGTAAATATCCCAGTTTATCCGATTGAATAGCAATGTTTCATAGTTTAAAATCCCCTAACATCGTCACTTTTGGATGGTTGAAGTCCCATTAAATCCATATGTATGTGAGTGTTGATGATTTAATCCTCCTTTTTCTGCTGCAAGTTCCATTAAATCCGCCATTTCGTATCCGGCGTCACCTTCGCAGGGTAAATTTCCATTGATCCAGTGCTGGTCTGCGACGTCATGGCAATCTGCACCTTGCACCTCTGCGTCGCTGGGCGTCACGTCCACGGCAAGAAACATGTGGAAAAACAGGGGAAATTCAGCAGAAATCATGGGATCCAGTGCAACATACTGGGATCTGGAATGTTAAAGGCATGGGGGTTATGCCTCTCAATGGATTGGTTGTGTTTGGGATATCTACAGGAAAACCTGGCAAACAAAAACACAAAATATTAGGGTGTTCGATGGTTTTCGTCAGAATTTCCATAAACCTAATACCGGTTTCAAGACTGAAATCAACAAAAACCGCCATGTTCAATAAGGTAATGGTCTTGAAATGGATGGTTTTCCACTGGCTAGTAGCCCAGACAAGAAAACAATTCCTGTATTAAGAAGGTCATTCGTGCCTTGAGGCTGCCCCTAGTTGGTTTACCCCATTTCTGTGGCGATTATGCCACTTCAAGAATATATGTATTCATAAATGTACAAACACACATATATATATATGTATAATTATATATGTATATATAATTATATATATATGTATATGTATATATATATATGTATATGTATATATATATATATATATATACGTATATATATATACGTATATATATATACATGTATATATAATTATATATATATACAATTATATATATGTTTATGTAAAGAATCAGAAATACTATATCATATATATATTACGTTGATTTACGTTGCCTGATTGATAATGTCCCGTATTTGGCAACCAACCCAAGCTTTCACTTCGTGCAAGAGGTACAACACGACATCTCATCTGCAGGATTTCTCCGGCCTTTCCCTCCATCTATTACTCAACAGTCACCCATCTGGGCACAATTCCCCCGAATGTGGTGCCCCATGATTAGCTAAGTTGATATTAGTAATTATAGGCTAATGATTGGATTAATGGTAGATCTATCTCTCTCATCTACATAGTTGACAGGTGTTTTTATCCACCCAACAAAACCATTGGGCACACATTAATTAATGTCAACCCTGGATTAATAAACCCCTAGGCTGTTCAATTGGGAGGGTACCATTTAAGTATTAGATTATGACTATTGGAGGAGTACCCCCCTAATTAATAAACCATGGTTTATTTATCCGGGGTTGACATTACACCTTGCCCAAGGCTTGTGACAAACCGCCAGGACACGTGTTGCTTCTCATCTGGCACCGACGCCACGTACGCCCGAACCTCCGCAATCCGAGGGAAGGAGCGGCTCGACGAAGCGGAAGCCATGGCGCCGCCGCTTCGTAGTCACGGACGCCGGTGAAGCATCAGGAGAAAGTTGAAAACGACATAAAACCACCATGTGGTTAAAGGCTGTGTATATATATATATTAAAACAAAAAAACCTTTATAATGATAAAGATCAACAAACGGACTTTCAAACAAACAAACTAGGTAGATTAAATAGATATGCAATGATGTGTGTAGTATATGGGCACATTGTTTCATAACATTTTTTGTTTGCAATTTCGATGCCCATCCCTTCGTTGAACACCCATGTTGAACATGATGTAGACATGCATCCTGATCTTTGTGTTGGTTTGTGCACCTCCCTCCAACATTATGATTTGGTTTCTTGATGCGTGATCACAATTCCCACGCCCAAGAAACTTGGCAAATGATTGAAGAAGTGATAAATGACGATTTAGATTACATCTCCCTATCAGGATCAAGCTGAATTGTGGATCAGATTTCCAGAACAAAAAAAAGCAACTGTGGGTTTTCCATGCGAAAATCCTAGGGGTTCACGACCCCTGGTTCAAAAATATTGATCCACCTCCATAAGCGTTGCGACGTTGTAGGGAGGTGGTCATGATTTACCAAAAAAATGCCAGATTTGTGGGGGGGAATAGCATAGGCCATGTGATCTTTAGGGTGTGTGTGTGTGTACCGTCTGTATAGACGTTAAACTTCTTCTAATTATATTATATTATATTTATAGCAGGGGGCACAGGGATCTCCAGTTGTGGCCTCTGCCAACGAAGCTCCACACTGGAGATCAGGTAAGCGTACCTGCTGTCTCGCCCCTGGGCGCATTTAAGACGCAGCTGGGGGGGACATATAATATATTATATCGCTGTTGTTTTATACTGTCATTGTCTAATGTGAGTTTACATATGTATATATATATATATAATTTCCATTGTAGATTAATTCGATTCCCATCTCATCTGCATGTTACAGGATTCGGTTCCTGACGGATCACTGAAATGATCCATTCTTGTCTAGTGTGATTCCTATGGTGACTCCAACATGGTGCCATAGGGCCAAGTGAGGCAACCCTATTCAGGGTAAATGTCGACTGAATTGACCTCCGAATTTACACTTTTGAATTAGTAATTCGTTTAAGTACAGTGAAACTGTTGGCCTTACCGTTTTGTGCCTTTGACGAAGTCCCGCGGCTCCTGTGGTCCCAGGGATCCCAGTGATCTGTTCTTTCAAGTGAAGCCGGTCCGAACTGCCAGAAACTTCTTTTTTATCACTGCAGCTTGCGTTTTTGAAGTTCAACATGACATTTACGACAAAAGGCAACAGGCATGTCCTTTTCCTGCAGGTGTGGTCTCTTTGGTTTCTGGTGAGGTCAAACATATTGTGCACCTAATTCGTTGGAACTTGACAGCCGTTATATGCCATTGGGGCACGATTCGACCGCGGTCTCGGTGTAGGGAACAATTCCACGACTTCTAGGACACTAGGAACTGAGTCCTGTTTTTGGGTTTTGTTTTTCACCCATTGGTCCCCTATCTCATTCTCTCCTCCCTCTCCAGGTAGGTTGGCTCCGTCGCGTGCTGAGGTTTTTGTAGGTTTTCGCTGTGTCAGGTTGGTTCATGCGCTTCCGTCTTCCCCCCCCTCCGCTGGTCTTGGTCCGTGTCCGTCGGCCCTCCGCTTTTTTCTTTTCCCTTGCCTTTTCAGGGTTCGCCCGCTCCGGGCTAGGTGTGTTGGTGTGTGTTTGCTCCTGCCCTCTTCTTTTGCGTTCCCCTCTTCGCGTCCTGGTTAAGTAACGTTCATCTCATCTTCACTCTCAACTCATTTTTCATCCCTGTTCATCCTCATCTTCATCTCATTTTTACGCGCACCACCCTGCCGGAGGCAGGGTGTGTGTGTGTACCGTCTGTATAGACGTTAAACTTCTTCTAATTATATTATATTATATTTATAGAAGGGGGCACAGGGATCTCCAGTTGTGGCCTCTGCCAACGAAGCTCCACACTGGAGATCAGGTAAGCGTACCTGCTGTCCCGCCCCTGGGCGCATTTAAGACGCAGCTGGGGGGGACATATAATATATTATATCGCTGTTGTTTTATACTGTCATTGTCTAATGTGATTTTACATATGTATATATATATAATTTTCATTGTAGATTAATTCGGTTCCCATCTCATCTGCATGTTACAGGATTCGGTTCCTGACGGATCACTGAAATGATCCATTCTTGTCTAGTGTGTGTGTGTGTGGTGTTCTTTCTCTAATAACACTTTACAACCGAGTTTCAGACAGACACACCCAAAAAACACTTGTAATATATATATATATATGTTATCAAAGCCCTTCTCAGGGAAAAAACAAACATAATATATACATATATATATGTAAAAAAAAACAAGGTGTTGTCAATTTGAGGCCAACGTCCTAAGTCCAGATGCCGCTGATCATCATCATCATCATCATCATCCCATGTGGCTGGGTGGGCCAAGAAAATTCTATGGGTACTATTTCTGCGCGTTCCATGAAAGATATACCAATTGTTTTTACCTGGGCAAACCTCTCTCGGCAACCTATCTAATTCTGGGGTTGGAGATAAATGTGTAATACTTCATTGCCGTGAAATAACTATTCATGTGCGTTCATTTGCAACACATGATGTTCCAGATTATCCCCACGATGTTCCCAGGAGTATCCCAACAAAATCCACCATTTTGCCGGTTAAATCCCCATGATGAAGAATTTCAAATCACAATGCGTTGTAACCATTATAACTGTACCGATATGACCCCCTGTATAGCTATACTGTCCTTTAAAACTTACCCTAACTAAAGAAAAACATGGCTTTCATGAACCTCATTGCGGCCGCGTTGCCCTGTTTGGAGTTGTGTTTTTCTACGAAGGCTCGTCGCTTCTGGTAGAGTTGGAAACGCTCGTTGTAGCTCAAGGAGTCCTTTTCTGGCTGCCAAAGGATGTTGGGATCATCCTGCCAGAGGGGCAGTTATAAACTTATCCAATAACAACAGTAAAGTTGGAATATGTTGGCATGATTTGCCTGGGGAAAACTGCTTCCTTGAACATGGAAGTACAGATCAGTTGTTGTCTTGCTTGTCTTAGAGTTCGAAAACATGCACATCAGTGAAAATCACAGCCATTCTCGTGGCTCAACTTCAGAGCGGCTTTGGTCGGCAGAAAGGGACAAGACTTCTTCTTTGGAAACGAAACCGCGTCTTTCTTATGATGTATCATCTGATCCACCCACTAAACAGCAAATCTCGCGGTGTAAGATACCCGGCAGGACACAACAACAAAACACCGTGTAGACAATTTAGACATGTTTTCCCCCCAGTGGCTAAACATGATTGCCATTAACCTCCTCAACCACCATTCGCCCGAACTAAAAACAACATAATCAACTTTATAATCGTATATGCTATACAGTAAATTGTGACTATTTACCAGCCTGATAAAAGGTCATTATGGGGTGACGTCGCAACGAAGGGATTGCAACTTCCATACCCAGAGTACGCCTTATTGAAAAGATTCAATATAGTTATTGAAATTTGATGCATATATTGAAATGAAGGGTTTATTGAAAAATACAATATAGATATTGAAATTTATTTCAACAGAGATAACATCAAATTTCAATATACCATATTGAAAAAACAACAATATCATGTTGAAACTGATGTTGAAACATGTTTCAACATATGTGGAAAATGCTGTTTCAATAAGGTGAAATGGCTGTTCTCAATCTGTTGCAAATTGGCTGAGTTTCAAACTGCTTTCTTTTCAAATGGCCATGCAACAAACAGTGGCAGCAGAAGTTGGTCTCCCTGGAACCTAGCTTTTTGGCCCAGGCTCCTGAGTCGCCTTTTTTTTAAGCCTTGAAAAAGGGCAGTGCCTTGAAAAGGGCATTGCCTTGAAGAAGGGCCATGGAGGAAGAGCAAAACACTGATGAAGCACAGCTGGATGTTTTAGACATGCTGATGAGACCCCCTTTTCCTGGGACCATGCAAGAGGCCATGGCCTACTGGGAGTACTTGGACTGCCAGACTGTGTCCTGTGATGCCTGGCTGTGGAGGAGGAACCTGGGCAAACCAGACTGGGGGATTAGGTGCTGGAAATGTGGAAGGGAATGGAGAAACACCTTCCAAAGAAGTGGGTCCTATTTTAAATATTGGAACCCAATAGACAAATGTCCAGCTAGGTGAAAAAATCTGGACTCACTGAAAAATGGGTTGCCTTGAAAAAGGGCATTGAAATTGCCTTGAAAAGGGGCTGTGAAATTGCCTTGAAAAGGGCATAGATTGGAGACAGCAGCTGAAAAAGGGTAGAAAAGCTAGCAAGCTGACATGTAAGAACAGTGTGGCATTGAAACACAGCACTGAGCAGGGCAATTGGTGTGCAGTGTCAGGCTGTTTCCCTTGCATTTCCCTTGCAGTACAGGCTCAAGCTGAAAGCTTTGCTTCATTTTTTGTTTTGCTGCAAAGGACCAAGTCTTGAAGAAAGGCAAAGCTCTGTAGAAGGGCATGGTCCTGATGAAGCCAGTCAAGAAAAAAAGTGGTTCAGGAAATCCACAACCCAAGCGGAGAAAAAGTTTTCCTGAAGTTGACCAAAATGCTTTAGATGATGCCTTGGACAGTCACATCAGGCAGGTTGGTGTGAAAGAAGCATTGAACCTGATGGACTACAGGCATCTCCAGCCACAGCAAGCTGAAATCCCCAGGGCCATTTTCAAACTGCACCCTCTCATTAAGGCTTTGGTGCAAGTCAGCCCCAGTGCAGAAATCAAGTACAGGAATTTGAAGCACAGTCTGACAGTGGCTGTCCACAAGTTTGGAGCTGAACTCTTGAACCAGTATTGGGAGGTGGAAGCATCTTTGCTACCTGGGAGGGCTGCTGACAGCATACTTGTCCTCCTTAAACACTGGAGGAGGGTGACAGCCAGTCCAACAAGTTGGGAAAGGTTTGGCACCAAGCTTGACACAGCACAGCTCCAAGTGCTCGCTGGGTTATACAAGAAGACTGGGAAAACAAATTTTTGTGTGGCATCAGGCACCAGGAAGCTGAAGAAAGAGGTGTCAGATGTTACAATTGGATCTGATGGCTGGCCTGCAATGTTGGCCACCTCTTCTGCATCAGAAACAGAGGCTGGTTCTGATGATGCTCCTGAAGGCCCTGAGGCTTCTGAAGCTTCTGCTGCACCCAGCAACTCTTTGCTTGGGAGCCCACCTCCTGTGACCAAAGCCAAGTGGAGGGAAAAGGCTGGCAAGCCTGTGAAGAAAAGGCCTGCTGGGAAAACAAATGAAAAGAATGACAGTTGCCAAAAAAAACCAGCAGCAAAGAAAGACAAAGCAGCAAAAGTGAAAAAGAATCCAATGGGCACAGGCTTGGGGCCAGAGACACCAATTTCTCAGGAGACCCTGAGCATAGGTGGTGGCAAGAACCAGTCCTACATACAACACATGCCTTTGGGCCCCAACACTGACAAGAAGCTTGTGGTCAGTGTGTCCTTGGCCCAAGCCACCAAGCTCAAGGTGTCCCACAAGCAGCTGGTGGAGGAGCTCTTGCCTGCTTGCCAAGAGGCTGGTGCCACCAAGGGCTCAGTGTCGGCTGCCAGGCTGAAATTGTTTGAAAAATATGAAAAGGCATGATGTGGATGGCCTTGCAAAGGGCTGTAGCCTTGAAAAAAGGCAGTAGCCTTGCAAAAGGGCTGTGCAAGCACACACACCACAGCCTTGCACAAAGGCAAAGCCTTGTATAAGGACTGTGCAAGCATAGACCAAAGCTTTGCACAAGCTGTAACTACTGTACATACAGCAACACCATTCTTCCTGCATACATGGAAGGAAAAAATGTTTTGCAGCACATGGCCAGGTACTGCTGCCAACCCAAGAACAACATGTTGTGTAAGCAATGCCAAGTGCAACCTAAACAATGCTGCATGACCTGTTTCACTTTTAGGCTCAAGCTACTAAAGCTGTAAGTTTTTCTCTTTCCCTTGACTTAAGGGCACTCTGCTCTGAAGAAGGGCCAAGCCTTGTGGAAGGGCTGTGGATGGTTTCATCACCTTCCTCACCTGACTATAGCAGGCCTTCACCACCTAGGTCGCCAAAAAGGAGCAGAAGCAAGAGCAAAAACCAGGCCATGCCAATGCCCAAGGACAGCTGGAGCGATGATGGGGGGTGGGAAACAGGATGGAGAGATGGGTGGGAAGACTGGGAAGAGTGGGACACCTGTGGTGGTGAAGAAAAAGGATGGAGGGATAGAGGGTGGAGGGATGAGAAATGGAGGGATGAAGAATGGAGGAGTGAGAGGTGGAGAGGGAGGAGGGATGAAAATGGCAAGAGCCTGACCTCAGGCAGTGCCATGCAGAGACAGAGGCTGGCAGCTGTGAGGGAGGTCCAAGGCCAGCCCAAGAATGAACTGGAGGACCAAGTGCAGAGGCTCTCTGCTATGGGCCAGTCCAGGTTCAAGAGGATGCTGAATAGGAAAGAAAAACAAGAAAAGGCTGAGAAGGAGAAGAAGGAGGCATGGCAGCAAGGGGCCCACTGGATGCAGTGCCAGCAGTGGCAACAATGGCAACAGCCACAGCAATGGCAACAGCCACAGCAGTGGGTACAGCCACAGCAGTGGGTACAGCCACACCAGTGGCCAGCTCAGTGGCAAACACAAGGCTGGAATTTGATTCATGTTGTTTCTGGTTTTAATTTTGAATGCACCATATATTTTTTGCCTGGTTGCAGATGCTATGGGTATGGTGCCAGCACTGCAGCTGGATCCCAAGCTTCAAACCCCAAAGGCCTGGCAATGATACTGTGCAATGTTCAGTCAGGTCATTTTTGTCCTGGCAGGTGCATGCCAGTCCCACAGATCTGCACCAGCTCCTGCAGGACTGCATGTTTTTTCATTTTGCATTTTTTTATTCAAACCCATGTTGTTCAATATACTTCCCATGGCTGCTTTGGCCAGGACCAGCCAATGCTCACAAAAAAGGCCTTGGGAAAGGGCAAAAAGGCCTTGAGAAAGGGCAGCAGGAAGAAGAAAGCAGCACAAGCAGCAGCAACTCTGACCAGTCCAGCCCATCTACAGATGGAGAAAAAGGAAAAGGTGCCCCAAAGGGTGCCAGACCCAAGGCAAAGGGAAAAGGTGGAGCTAAGGCTGCACCAGAGGTGAAAAAGGAGGTGGACCAGGGCAATGGTGACTGGGTTCAAGTGGTGAAAAAAGGAAATAGAAGAAAAAAATAGCACTGAGGAAGTGCCAAAGCCCTGAGGAAGGGCCAAAGCCCTGAGGAAGGGCCAAAGCCTTGGGAAAGGGCAAACAAAAAGCCTTGAAAAATGGCATGCCTTTTTTTGAAAAGGGTTCTAAAGGAACTTTAGACCACCACCTGCACTTTGAGCAGTGGAGAAAAAAGGTGTGACTTGAAGCTTGGGCCCAGGGTCTGGCATCTAAAACACAGGGGTAGCACACTCATCCTTGAATAAAAAATCATTGGGCAACCCCCAAAAAAAATCATGAGCAATCCATGCATGGCTGCAAAAAAAAAAATCATTGGGCTGTTCAATCTGGAATCATTTTTTGGAAAAAAAAATGTAGTCAAATAAAATTGAAACATGCCCCAAAATGACCACAAAAAGGGTGATCCATCATATTGCATCATATGATGTCATATGATGGGTGGGGCCATCATATGATGGGTTGTGGCCATCATATGATGGGTTGTGGCCATCATATGATGGGTTGTGGCCATCATATGATGGGTGGTGCCATCATATTGCATCATATGATGTCATATGATGGGTAGCTGTTTTTCTGGGTAGATTTGATTGGTGTTCATTTTTGAAAAATCTGTAGCTTTCAAAAGCTCAAGGTTGACACCTGCAATTTGATTTTGCCTTGCAGAAGGGCAAAGGCAATGGGAAAGGCAATCAAGGCCATGAAGGTGGCAAAAAAAACAAAGCAAACAGGGACCAGCCCTGCACAAGGGCAAAGCCCTGCAAAAGGGCAAAGCCTTGCAAAAGGGCAAAGCCTTGCAAAAGGGCCAGGCATTTTGAAAAGGCCCAGTTCCATTTTGAAATTGCCAAAAAATGATGCAGACCTGAGCCTGGAAGAAAAGATGGAGGCCTTCCAAAAGAAAGCCAATGGAAATGTCCAGACTTTCCTTGACAGCCTCACCCAAGGCCAGAGAGAAGCCCTTTGGGGTCGCTTTAGCAGGGCAAGGGATGCCCTGAAGGACACCAAAGCCACAGAGCTGTGGAACACCCACTGTAAGGGAAAAGGGAGTGAAGAGAAAAAAAAAAACAGCTGCTGGCTGTGTTTTTGAAGAACAGGGGTGACCTGAAGAAGGCTGGCATCTACCAGAAAGAGTTGGTTGCCTTGACTGAAGTTTCAGGCAGCTTGGCTGGCAGAACCCAAGTTTCAATGGGTGTTCTGGCTGCAACCTCATTCCTGCTGCTTGTCACTTGTGAATGTGTTTCTCTGAGGCAGCAGGGAAACAGAGGAATGGGTGCCATTCCAAGCCATTTTGACAAGGTTTGGATTACAGGAGGCCATGAGGAGAGCACCCTGGCAGCAATATGCATTGTATGCATTGCACATCTTGCAATCAATCCTTTGACTTTGAATGCCCACCTTTGCTGGCATATGGTGAGGTGAACAGGGGGTCCATCAGGGTCAGGAAAGACCCAAAGGACCAACAAGAGTGGCAGTTCTGCCTGGAGACAGCAGTTGTCTTCAGTGACAAGCAGTCCAAGCATGAGATGAACATGGAGGCTGCCACCAAACTGGAAGCCATCCAATGGATGGAAGCCAGAAAGGCTGGCACCATGTTGAGCCCTGAGGAAGGGCTGGCAGCAAATGCCTTGAATGATGTCCTCCCCACCAGTGCCAAAAAAAAGGCTAAAGAGCTTGCAGCTATCAAAGACAAAGAGTCAGATGAAGAAGGTGATGCAGAAGATGAGGAAGAAGATAGCAAAAAAATACTCAATGCAGCTGCAAAGGAAGCTGACCTCCTGTCAGACATGGGGGGTAGCAAAAGCAAAGACCTCACAGCCAAGAGAATCTTGAAGATGCTCAAACTGGTCAAGCAACTTAATGCTGACCTTGCAAAGGGCAGCTCAGGGAGTAAGGCAGCAAAGCACCAGAAAGATTTGCAAAGTTGCCAAGTTGAGTTGCAAAAACTTAGCAAACAGGGGCAGAAGGTCAAGCTGGAAGTTGCCAAGGACACACTCTTTGAAGCAGCACTGGCTGTAAAGAGAGCAGAAAAGGCTGTGGAAAAGAAATGAACCCTGAAAGAAAGCAAAGGCCTTGAAGAAGGGCAAAGGCCTTGCAAAAGGGCTATGCTTTGGAAAAAAACACTTTGGACAGCACAGAAACTGTTTTGCTTGAGAAGTTGGGAAAAAAACGCTTTCATGCTAAGTGTGAGGAAGGGTTACATAACCAAACCAGGCAAGACTGCTCCTGTGGCACTCAAATCAGTTTTCCCCTGGTGTTTTAAAGCTGTTTGGCTCAACTCTTCTGAATGGTTGGCCTTGAATAAGGGCCATTCTGGCCTTGAAGAAGGGCTATTCTGGCCTTGAAGAAGGGCAAAACTTTGTGAAAAAGCAATGGCCAACCAAAGAGGAAAATGGAAAAGGAAAAAGCAAGAGCAGGCCAGCAGCTCTACCATGTTGTGCCAAGAGTTTTCACCCTTAGGGTCTTGCCTGCTGGAGCACTTTGCAAATGGCATGTCAGCCCCTTGCCAAAGTTTATTCAAAAGCTGTCTGGTAGAAGGACCAATGTGATTGCATGTGCTTTTTTTTTTTGCCAGTGACTGCACTGAGGGGCCTTCCATCCAAGCACTTGCTATGGCTGCAAGCAAGTCAGGGGCACCCACCAGTGATATCCAGGAGCTTGCATCCCTTGGCAACCATGGCCAGAATCCCAACCACATTGCCCACCAATTGCAATCCAAGTACTGTGAAAGCACTGACATAGACTTGCCCATGCCCTACTTTGTGGAGACCCCTGTGCAGCTCAGAACAGCAGATGGCTTGTCTGTGGCACAGAAGAAAGTAGGGATGTTCTTACCACATGAGTGGTTTCATTGGCTTTGTGGCCAAGACCAGGCTATGTCAGGGTTGCAAAATGTTGAAGAGTTCTGGAGAGAACACAGTTCAAGAGACCCACAGCTGAAGAACAACATCATCAAAGAGACTCAGCAGCATAGAGTGCCATTTGTCACTGCCACCTTCGCATCCAAATCCCAAAAAAAGCAACCTTTTCCTCTGTGGTTTACATGCATTGGCTGAGGAGCACAGACATAAATCTTTGCCCTGTGGCTTACATGGAGATGGAGGCCAATTCCAACGAAATGATAGCATCAATGTGATCAGCATGAGGAGCCTGCTATCCAGCCTCAATGTTGCTTCAAGCCAACTCTTGCTACTGGCTTTGCCAAAGGGTGCCATCAACAAAAGCCCTGATGATGCAGCTTGTGACACCATGAAGGTCCTTTGGCAAGTACTCCAATGGTCTTGGGAAGCTGCTTTCTACAACAAGTTTTCTGAATTTGACCATGCAGGGAACCCTTGGCCAGCAAAGTCTTGGAGACAGCAGATGGCTGGTCAACCTTTGAGCAGAGAAGGCTTCAGAGCTTGCATCTGGGCAGTGCAGGCAGATGGTGAGTACCTCCAGAATGAGTTCCAGCTGAAAGGTGCGTCACATGAGGAGATGTGTTTCAATTGCTCAGCAAACAAAAGCACTCTGCCCTACAATGACTTCAGGCCCACTGCAGCTTGGAGGGCTACAGTGGTGGAGAATGCAGGGGCATGTCCTACAGATCATGTGATCAGCACCATTCCAGGTGTGGTTGGTGAAACCTTCAAATATGACACCCTACATGTGCTAGAGGAAGGCCTCACAGCACATGTGCTGGCCAATGTCCTCTTTGACCTGGTTGTGAAGCCAGGCCTGCCAGGAACACAGAATGAGAGACTGACCTACCTCTTTAGGAAAATCTGCACCCTCTACCAAGAGCAAGGCATTGAGGCCAGTGACAGGATCAGGAAGCTGACACTCTCTACTTTCTGTTCTCCAAAGGGCAAGCATGATCAGTTTCCTACTTTGACAGGGGTGAAGGCTAGACACTGCAGGTGGCTGGTACCTGTGCTGGAAGAGATATGTTTGGAATTCCAGAGTACAGAGGACAAGTACAGTGTACATCGGTTTCAAACTGTCAAGCACCTCAACCAGCTCTACACAACCTTGGACTGCAGTGGCATGCACCCCACAGGGGAAGAAGCAACTTCTTTCAAAAAAAGCATGAACCTTTGCCTCCTACACTACTCCAGGCTGTCAGTGTTGAGCATCCAGAAAGGAATTCTACAATGGAATGTGACCCCCAAGTTCCACTTGTGTGAGCACTTAGCAAGTGTCTTTCAGTGGTTCAATCCTAGATTTTACTCCTGTTATGCTGGTGAAACAATGGTGGGCCACCTATCAGCCCTTGCTCATTCCTGCCTGAGTGGCACTGCCCCCTACCAGGTGGCCAGTAAGGTCACTTGGAGATACAGGTTAGCTCTTCACCTGAGGATCCAAGGAGCTGATTTTTCATGGCAAGATATAGAAAGTGATTAACATTGGGAAATGCCTTGGAAAAGGCTGCCCTGAGAAAGGGCTGCCCTGAAAAGGGCCATGTCCTGCAAAAGGGCCTGAAACCTTGGCAAGATGTATATAGTTTTGTGTAAAGTTTCACAAGTAGCAGAGCAAGCAAAGATGAGCAAAAAAATGCATTGGATGAACCAAGTTGGAAAGGTTTCAACACAGAATCATGTTGAAAAATACAACACAGCTCTGTTGAAAAATACAATAGAAAATGCACCCCTGTTTCAATAGGGAATCCAGAGAAAATTTCAATATATATTGAAATTAGACCTCCATGTTGAAACTGTCGATCATTATTGAATCTTTTCAATAAGGCGTACTCTGGGTATATATGAGTATAAACCATGAAAATTCACCGCTGAAGTATGTCCTCAAGCTTATCTTTTCGATGCTTTTGCCGGAAGACCTGCATGAGACAGCCGCTGGTCTTGGGTTGGGGCCTGCGATATGGACATCTTCCGGAACAAATGAATGACATGGGCAACCCACCAACCACTTTGGAGATATTAGCAAATGTATGGAAACATTTTTGGAACATGTTGGAGCCGCTATGTAAATAAATCGTTCAATCAGTAAATAATAGTAAAATAAATAAATACACACACATATATAATATATATATATATATATGTGTGTGTGTGGCAGGCAGAAAATTGAAAAAATGTGAGAACAACACAATCCAGTGGAAAATCATCCATTTGCAGACTATCCTGGGGAAACACAAAGGGTTTTCCACATCTACCAAAAACCCGGCCTCGTAATCCTTCGCATCGATGTCCTGCATGGGATGCACTTGAATGGCACCAGTGTCTTGAAGGGATTCCCATCGGGAGATGGTGTGAAAATGGGACACTGATGGGAAAATCCCATGGAAATAGTGGGATTTTATGGAAATTCAAATCAGTGTCCCATTGAAACACCATATGAAATGTGTTTCAATGTCAGTTAGATGGTTTCCCTACCACCCTGCCTTCCGTGTGTATCTACCCCCCCTCCCCTTCATACATTTCCATCGAATGTAGGAATGGGGGGGGGAGCAGGTGGTCAAGCCCGGCGACGGAAAGAGGCTTAAAAGAGGTGTCAAGAAGGTTTATACATTATCATTTTTGATTGAATGAGACATGGGGGGGACCTGCTCTGCACCAGCACTTAAACAATGCTTGGGAAACCCCCAAAATGTATTCCTCTGGGGGGTGAGCTGCTACTAGGAACTATTAATTCATTGCAAGTTAAAAATCTTAAAATGTATGAAACATAGGGGGGACCAGGTCATTTACTGCAGTAACCTGGATAAGATGAGACAAAATCAAATGTATAAAATATAGGGGGGACTAGGTGGTTTCTGTAAATCACTGGAAATATATGAAAGTAAGGGGGGACTATGTTGTTTCAACCTCAAAAGCGGACGATTTCCTTCGATTGATTTCCACGATTTCTTTCGATATCTGGCCACAGAATGAATGGGTCCAAAGCAATTTCCAGTCGTTCTCTTTGCTAAGGCCGCAAACTATTGCAAACTCACGAAATTTCGATGCTTTAAAAACAGGACAGCTGCACACGGCTGCTAATTTCTTTTCACGATGCTTTGAAGTTTGTTGCATTTAATTTTCGAAGGAAAGATGCAGAATCATTTGGAAGCAACAAGAAGTATTTGAACATTGAAACTTCCACTCTGTTCTGAACCTGTCTGCCATTCTCATCAATTTTCCCGACCTGGCTTGACAAGCCCCATTCTCGATTCTCGATCCTCGATCCTCGATCCTCGCTTCTCGATTCCCGATTCTCGATTCTCAATTCTCCATTCTCGATTCTCAATTCTCGATCCAGTATCCTCGATCCTCGCTTCCCGCTTCTCGATTCTCGATATTCGAACCTCGCTTCACGGTTCTCGATAGGCATGGAGGAGGGCCCTCTGGCTCATACACTTGTAAGATATCGTGAGACTTTGTCAGAATCTTGGAAAACACTGCCCTGCTCCCAGTAATGTATGGCTGCACTGATGTGCAGGTTCCCCCCCCCTTTCATACATTTTATTCCCATGCTCTGGGGTCTGTTGGCATGCGTTGCCCTTCTCCATACTGGTGGATACTATTGGAACCACCTGGAACTCCTAGGATTCTCCTAGATGTGCCCCACCTTCAGTACCTGAAATGTATGGCTGCACTGGTGTGCAGGTCCCCCCCCCTTTCATACATTTTATTCCCATGCTCTGGGGTCTGTTGGCATGCGTTGCCCTTCTCCATACTGGTGGATACTATTGGAACCACCTGGAACTCCTAGGATTCTCCTGGATGTGCCCCACCCCCAGTACCTGAAATGTATGGCTGCACTGGTGTGCAGGTCCCCCCCCCCTTTCATACATTTTATTCCCATGCTCTGGCGTCTGTTGGCATGCGTTGCCCTTCTCCATACTGGTGAATACTATTGGAACCACCTAAAACTCCTAGGATTCTCCTAGATGTGCCCCACCCCCAGTACCTGAAATGTATGGCTGCACTGGTGTGCAGGTCCCCCCCCCTTTCATACATTTTATTCCCATGCTCTGGTGTCTGTTGGCATGCGTTGCCCTTCTCCATACTGGTGGATACTATTGGAACCACCTGGAACTCCTAGGATTCTCCTGGATGTGCCCCACCCCCAGTACCTGAAATGTATGGCTGCACTGGTGTGCAGGTCCCCCCCCCTTTCATACATTTTATTCCCATGCCCTCTGGGCTGTGTTGGCATGCGTTGCCATTCTCCCTACTACTAAAAACTATTGGAACCACCTGGAATTCCTAGGATTCTCCTGGATGTGCCCCACTGGTGTGCCGGTCACCCCTCCCCTTTCATACATTTTATTCCCATGCTCTGGGCTGTGTTGGCATGCGTTGCCATTCTCCCTACTACTGGAAACTATTGGAACCACCTGGAACTCCTAGGATTCTCCTGGATGTGCCCCACCCCCAGTACCTGAAATGTATGGCTGCACTGGTGTGCAGGTCCCCCCCCTTTCATACATTTTATTCCCATGCTCTGGGCTGTGTTGGCATGCGTTGCCATTCTCCCTGCTACTGGAAACTATTGGAACCACCTGGAACTCCTAGGATTCTCCTGGATGTGCCCCACCCTTTCATACATTTTATTCCTATGCTCTGGGCTGTGTTGGCATGCGTTGCCATTCTCCCTACTACTGGAAACTATTGGAACCACCTGGAACTCCTAGGATTCTCCTGGATGTGTCCCACCCCCAGTACCTGAAATGTATGGCTGCACTGGTGTGCAGGTCCCCCCCCCTTTCATACATTTTATTCCCATGCTCTGGGCTGTGTTGGCATGCGTTGCCATTCTCCCTACTACTGGAAACTATTGGAACCACCTGGAACTCCTAGGATTCTCCTGGATGTGCCCCACCCCCAGTACCTGAAGTGTATGGCTGCACTGGTGTGCAGGTCCCCCCCCCTTTCATACATTTTATTCCCATGCTCTGGGCTGTGTTGGCATGCGTTGCCATTCTCCCTACTACTGGAAACTATTGGAACCACCTGGAACTTCTAGGATTCTCCTGGATGTGCCCCACCCCGAGTACCTGAAATGTATGGTTGCTCTGGTGTGCAGGTCCCCCCCCCTTTCATACATTTTATTCCCATGCTCTGGGCTGTGCTGGCATGCGTTGCCATTCTCCCTACTATTGGAAACTATTGGAACCACCTGGAACTCCTAGGATTCTCCTGGATGTGCCCCACCCCCAGTACCTGAAATGTATGGATGCACTGGTGTGCAGGTCCCCCCCCCTTTCATACATTTTATTCCCATGCTCTGGGCTGTGTCGGCATGCGTTGCCATTCTGCCTACTACTGGAAACTATTGGAACCACCTGGAACTCCTAGGATTCTCCTGGATGTGCCCCACCCCCAGTACTTGAAATGTATGGCTGCACTGGTGTGCAGGTCCCCCCCCCTTTCATACATTTTATTCCCATGCTCTGGGCTGCCATTCTCCCTACTACTGGAAACTATTGGAACCACCGACCCTAGGATTCTCCTGGATGTGCCCTGCCCCCCGGTACCTGAAATGTATGGCTGCACTGATGTGCAGGTCCCCCCCCTTCAAACATGACAAACAGAAAACCCGCAGTTGGTGTTGGGGAGTTGATAGCCAGGGTCGGAGGATATTGAGAACTATGGGCTGGTGAAGAAAGGTGAATCTCTGCAGTACCCTGTGAGTAAGACTGTTGAAAGCATCTGACACCATAAGACTTTGGAACTCAATGTTTGATAAAAAACAGAAGTTGAAAGAGCTATACGGAATGGGCAGGGTTGGATTAGATCAACACACTTCAACCATCTTCAACCCAAGGCTCAACCTAAAAAAACATCCTTTCGGTACCGTGCAATCCTGAAAAATGTTAGAAAAAGGCACCCTAACAATAGATAAGAATCAGAAACAACTACTGCATACTATTGCATTTAGTACATTTAGGCTTCTCAACACAACCTTCATGTATAATGAATGTGCGGCATGGAACTGCTGCTGACCCCCCAGGTGCATACATTCATGATACTTCATCTGCGCCCCCCCCCCTTCCAAATTTCGCACCCCCCCTCCAAACTTGGGAATTATTAATGTATTAACCCAGGGGGGGTAGGTGGCCTCCCATAATTTGGCAAACTTAGATTTCAGGGGGGGGTGGTCAAAAGCGTCATGCTATTTCGTAAGATTCCCCAGGAAAACTCCATGAGCATCAAAGATCCATGGCCTTGCAAAATCAATGTATGAAACCGCCTCCCCACCTTTTTCTAAACAAGCTTTTGAAGCCAAATACTGAAAATGTATGAGGAACACTCCCCACCTCTTTAGGTAATCTCTTAATTTTACAAAAACTAGTTCATACAAAAATACCCGTTTCAGAGGTGGGGGGGGCCCTGGAAATGTATGAGAATTCCCGGCTCCCCCCCCCCTCGGTGTACATTTTAAGGGGTGGGGGACGTTTC